AACCTCTGGCTGGGGCATTCTGGGAGTTGAAGTCCACCTCTAATCTCAAAGCGTCTGTCCCATTTTCTGCCTTCAGAGGTGGAAACTTGCTGGGATCAGCAGTTTTTAAGCCAGACCTCGACTATGTGTCAGAATGGTGAAACAAATGGCAACTTCAAATCTCAACAAATAAATGCTCTGTCTTACATATTGGCAAAAAAAATCAGAAAATAAAATACAGGCTGAATAGTCAAGACCTTGTTGATGATCCAAGCTCTGTCGAGGATCTTGGAGTACTCATCTCAAATGACCTAAGTGCTAGAGCCCACTGTAACTACACAGCCAAAAAGGCATTAAGAGTTGATAATCTAATCCTACATAGCTTCTTCTCTGGTAATATCACACTACTAACTAGAACATACAAAACATTTGCTAGACCTATACTCGAATACAGCTCATCAGTCTGGAACCCACATTATGTATCTGATATTAACACAGTTGAGAAAGTCCAGAAATATTTCACAAGAAGAGTTCTCTACTCCTCTATGCGTTGTAGAATACCTTATGCCACCAGACTTGAAAATCTAGAACTACTCCAGCTCCGGTCCGATCTCAGTGTAGTATATAAAATCATACATTGCAATGTCCTACCTGTCAATGAATACTTCAGCTTCAACCCTAACAACACAAGAGCAAACAATAGATACAAACTCAAGGTTAATCTTACCAAACTTGATGGCAGGAAATACGACTTCAGCAACCGAGGGGTCAATGTCTGGAATACTCTACCTGACTCTGTGGCTTCTTCCCCAAACCCCAAAAACTTCAACCTTGGACTGTCTACTACTGACCTCACCCCTTTCCTAAGAGGTCTGTAAGGGGGCGTGCATAAGCGCACCAACGTGCCTACTGTCCCTGTCCTATTGTTTCTTTTATTTTTCTTCTATGTATCCATGTATTTATAATTATGTTTTTACTTATGCCTATTATCTTGTAAGCAATTGACAAACTAAATAAAATAAAAAAAAAATGGAATTTGCACCGTGTAAAACGGAAAGCACCAATTCCACCCGGGATTTTCCCCAACTCTCACCTGTTCCCTTCTTGCATCTCCTTGACAGATCCGCCGGAAACTTCAGCCCCCGCCCCGAGGAGCCGTTCTCAGTGACCGCGAAGCTCTCCAAAGTCTTCTGCCATCTGGCCGAAAGCTGGTGCCCTCCCGCCCTGAACGGGCTTGGCCGGCCCCGGGGCCCAAGAACACCGGCAGCGGAGTCAAACACATGGATTCTTTTCTGATTCGGGTGAAGGACTCTTTTTCCTGTTTGCCCAGTTGTCTCAAATGAAACTTTTCCAAAGTTTTTTTTGGGGAAAATGCAAGGAGAGTCCCACGATGGGGAAGGAAAAGCAGGAACAGACAAACAGGATGTCCGTTGGCATCCTTAAGAGGGAAGAGAAAGGACTGGGCAGAGCTGGAGATGAGGGTCTGGAAAACGTTGGCAGCGCCAGGCAAAGCTGGCACATTTTTTTTCCCTGCTCCAATCGCTTATCACAACCGAGGGGCCATTACACCCCCCCTCCCCAAATTCCCATGGGAAGGATTTTCAACTCGAAGCATCCCAGCCATGGGCAAACGGATTCCCGAGATGTCCTATTATTTTGATTGTATTCGAAAAAAAGTTAAAATACAAAACTCCCAAATTTAAAACCAAAGGAAAAAAAAACAAGGCAATAAAACATTTTAACAAGTGCTTTAAAAAGAAAAAGAAACATATCTAGCGTGTTTCTCATATAATAAGGCTGGGTCTTATTTTATTTTATTTTTTGAGCCCCGAAAAAATGGCTAGGCCGTCTTTTCGGGGGTGACTTAATTCCCCCACCCTGCTTGCATCTTCGGGCCGGCGGCGACAGCTTGGATGTTGACCTCGGCGTTGGTGGGGCACTTCGTATCGGGGTCAACGCAGGCAGCACCATATCCGGGGGTGCAACAAAAGTACTTCCTACCGGCAAGCCCCCCCGCCATTTCCCCCCCATTTTGCATGTTTTAATATAGGCCTTAATTTGGGGGGAGGGGCTTAATTTCATTTCATGCCTATAAAACATGCTGGGACTTCCTATTGGGGGAGGCCGTATTGTTGGAGAAACAGGGCACATGCAATTCAACTCAGTTTATTACAGTCAGAGACCAGAGAAACAAATAAAAACCCTTAGTAAATATTGAGCTGAATTGAATTAAAACATACACGCATATCATCCTGCCTAGTTGGATATTGATTAGTACGTTAGAACCAATACTGGTTCCCACCCCTTGAAAAATATATTTTACACACACACACACACACATTTTTTAAACTATTAAATCTGTTTGCAAATTATTAACCTGTCATCTATATATTATATTAACGACAAACTGGATAACAGGAAGAACAATAATAATGGATAAGGCCAAGATCGAAGTTTCAAAGCCCTCTGTTAACAAACGGTTATTGTAATCCAGTCGTAGAAAATTGACCATGGCATCTTACCTGTCCCAAACTGGAACCCCAGGATTTGGAAAGGATTCTGGAGATCTGGCACAGATTTTGGCAGAAAAGCAAGGATCCAACTGTTTTTAATTTTAAAAAAAAGAGAAAGAGAGAGAGAAAAACAAACCCAAATTTAACTGAGATGTTTTTCTTTTTTACATGCTGAAAACGTTGCTAGATGAGACACCAATAATGGATGTTTTATCTACAGCGGGGGGGGGGGGTCTCCAAATTTAGCACCTTGAAGACTTCTGGACTTCAACTTCCAGAATTCCCTAGCCCAGGGTCCTCCAACCTTGGCAACTTTAAGCCTGGAGGACTTCAACTCCCGGAATTCTGGGAGTTGAAGTCCGCAAAGCTGACTGGGGAATTCTGGGAATTGAAGTCCTCCAGGCTTAAAGTTGCCAAAGTTGAGGACTCCCGGGCTAGGAATTCTGGAAGTCAAAGTCCACAAAGCTGACTGGGGAATTTTGGGAGTTGAAGTCTGCAAAGCTGACTGGGGAATTCTGGGAGTTGAAGTCTGCAAAGCTCACTGGGCAATTCTGGGAGTTGAAGTCCGCAAAGCTGACTGGGGAATTCTGGGAGTTGAAGTCCGCAAAGCTGACTGGGGAATTCTGGAAGTTGAAGTCCACAAAGCTGACTGGGGAATTTTGGGAGTTGAAGTCTGCAAAGCTGACTGGGGAATTCTGGGAGTTGAAGTCTGCAAAGCTCACTGGGCAATTCTGGGAGTTGAAGTCCGCAAAGCTGACTGGGGAATTCTGGGAGGTGAAGTCCGCAAAGCTGACTGGGGAATTCTGGGAGTTGAAGTCCACAAAGCTCACTGGGCAATTCTGGGAGTTGAAGTCCGCAAAGCTGACTGGGGAATTCTGGGAATTGAAGTCCTCCAGGCTTAAAGTTGCCAAGGTTGGAGACTCCCGGGCTAGGAATTCTGGAAGTTGAAGTCCACAAAGCTGACTGAGGAATTTTGGGAGTTGAAGTCTGCAAAGCTGACTGGGGAATTCTGGGAGTTGAAGTCCGCAAAGCTGACTGGGCAATTCTGGGAGTTGAAGTCCGCAAGCTGACTGGGGAATTCTGGGAGGTGAAGTCCGCAAAGCTGACTGGGGAATTCTGGGAGTTGAAGTCCATAAATCTGACTGGGGAATTCTGGGAGTTGAAGTCCACAAAGCTGACTGGGGAATTCTGGGAGGTGAAGTCCCCAAAGCTGACTGGGGAATTCTGGGAGTTGAAGTCCATAAATCTGACTGGGGAATTCTGGGAGTTGAAGTCCTCCAGGATTTAAAGTTGCCAAGGTTGGAGATCTCTGCCCTAGCCGGCCATGGGGAATTCTGGGAACTGAAGTCCATAAAGCTGACTGGGAAATTCTGGGAGTTGAAGTCCTCCAGGCTTAAAGTTACCAAGGTTGGAGATCCCTGCCCTAGCCGGCCATGGGGAATTCTGGGAGTTGAAGTCTTTAAGCTGCCAAATTTGGAGACCCCCTAGTCTCCTCCTCTATTCAGACAATCTTTAGAATCAGGATTAGCCTTTCATCCAGTGGCTGCATTGGCACCAGGAGCAAAGGGTAGGTAGGTTTAGCATTGGGGGTGTTTTACAGCTTGTCCTGTGAGATTTGTGCCATTCAAATAATCGGGTTATTTCCAAAACCAAATTAAGGGGAAGGGGGGTGGATGGCCACAGCCTTTCGGCCTGCCAATTTTCCCCGGGCAAATTAAAAAGCTGTTTTATTAGTTCTCGAGTTCACAACATTGGTTTTGAACCCAGGAATAATTTTCGCTTTCTTGACTGCCAATCTCTGTCCTGCCACAGGAGTTACGCCAACAAAGCAGGGGGTGTTAAAGGCTAGGATGGGTGACTTGTTACTGGATGATAAGGATTCATCCGTCACTCTTGTTTAGAAAATTTAAATCATAAGAATGGACGGGGACCTCAGAGATCTTCTAGTCCAACCTCCTTGTCAAGGCAGGAGAGATTATACCATACCATCCTAGAAAAATGGTTGTCCAGTCTATTATTGAAAACCTTCAGTGTTGGAGCACCCAGAACTTCTGGTGGCAAGCAGTTCCACTGGTTAATTGTCCTTACTGTCAGGAAATTTCTCCTGAATTCCAGGTTGCTTCTCTCCTTGATTAGTTTCCATCTGTTGCTTCTTGTCCTGCCTTTAGATCAGGGGTCTTCAAACTTGACAGCTTTAAGACTTGAGGATTTCAACTCCCAGAATTCCTCTCCAGTCATGTTAGCCCAGGGATTCTGGGAGTTGAAGTCCACCAGTCTTAAACTTTCCAAGTTTGAAGACACTTTGATTAGGGATAGATAGATAGATAGATAGATAGATAGATAGATAGATAGATAGATAG